GGTTCGATTCAATAAGAATGCTTGAAACGGCGTCCTTGCTTGTGTGCAGAGATGATTAAGTGTGTTTGAGAAACGGAGAGGCAAGTTCCCGCTGTTCTGTGTATGTTGAGTTTCTGGTCTGCGGATCGTTTTGAGCCCAGCTCTGACGGCTGGCTCGGTAAATCAAGGAACCTTTCCTGTCTCTATAGATGCTGAACCAGCTGTTTGTTTTTTGTTTTTGTTTTTTTGTAGAAAATACACGAATATGAATGTTTAACAACTTAAAGTTGTTTTGATATCCACCTTTTTGTTCCTGGTTCGAGTAAGCTCTGACTTTGTAGAGCTAAAAGAAGAAGCCTCTCTCGTTCTTCTACCAGAGTTTAGTCCTGCTTTGTCTTGCAAAGACTAATGATCTGTCTGTACAGACAAGAAGGACATGAAGACCTTGAACTGACTAAACGGGCGATTTCAATGGTAAGGGGAGATTCCTTTGTAAATATGCCACAGCAGGTTGGATGTGTACATCAGTAACGGTTCATATGCAAACAGCTTTTATTTATGTTTTGTAAATTATGGGATAATGGTACGCTGCTCTGCCTCCTCTGATGGAACGTGTGAACGGGAGACAATAAATGAGATGCACACTGTCTGCTGTCCTCATTTTAACCCCCACCGTGTCGCACACAAACCCACTGATCATGTCGCTCCGCTGTTTACACGTCGGCCATGTTTGGCTAGTCAACCACAGCGTTCTGAACGCTTTCTCAGAAGACACTTAATCTGATTTCTTACTTCAGCAAAAGTCAAACCAGGTTTTAATTTGATGTTTTTTGTGTGTGTGTTTGTAAGAATGTGGAAGTGGTGAAGTAACTTATAACTGTGATTTTGTTCTAACAAAGATAAACTCAACAAAAGGAATCGCTCTCCTCATTCACTCAGTCTCGGTTGTACTAATACCGTCCCCTATTAGGAGGTGATATTAGTGTTAACAAATTTTTAGTTTTATTAGATAGTAATATTTTAATAACACTAGTACACCTAGTATCCTTTAACACTTCACAAGGTCTGACCTTTTGTTTCCCTGCAGCAGTGTTGTCCCAAACCTTTTGCTCCAACGGCCAAAACTGAAAAATTGTAATTACTGGAAGAACATAAAGTTCTTTAAATGAAAAAAATTAAACATTAGTTTATTGGGATTTATTTTGTTTTTAGTCTTACCTGCTCAATAATAAACTTTTATGAAATCTGTAAATCATTGAAGATCTAAAACATACAAAAGGCTGTTGACTTTCTAAAACAAAAACGGGATTTCCAAATTTCTTGGGGTATAAATTGTTTTCTATTTCGACGGCCAAATTCTTTAACATTCTTGACTTGTGGTCATTTCAAGGACCACAAATGGCCCCTGAGCCACTCTTTAGACACTTCTGCTCTAGAGAATATAAAGTCTTTGGATTCTTTCTCTCTGTTCTCCCAGCGTAAGTTTTCTTAAAGTATTTAAATCGGGACGGGGATGTCCATGGAAGAAGATAAATTTGGACTTGATAATAAGCCTACATTTCACCTGAAGCCATCAACGGTTTTTCCAAAATTTTGCGGTACTTCAACAAGCTCCTCATGACCTTTGGAAGAGAAACAGACCCAAAGCATTGGAGAACCTCCACCGTGCTTTCCAGCGGGCCTGAGGTGTTTTTATATATATGTTTTCTCAAGTCAATCCAATCTGGACTGTTTGACTCAGTCTTAGTCAGGAAAGGTTTTTTTTTGGTGGCATGTCTCCCAAGCAGTCAGTGATTATGTAAATTGAGTATAAATATTGTACTTAGTAACACTTAGTAAACAAGTTCAGTGATTTAAAAGTGAGTTGTTTTTGTAATAAAAGTCCGAAATCAGAAATTCAGTGGTAACAACATGAGTTTGCAGGAAATGTAGGACAATTCTCATCAGTCACAAACGTAATTATTGCTCAGACTGTAGATATGGACAAGGGCAGCAAAGCAGGAGAGCTGCACAATATATGGAATTAAATTATGATTGTCATTGCAATAGCAGTTTTGCAATGACAAAACTAATATTACTGGTTGCAGTAATTGGTGGCTTGTCATATTTGAAAGGCAATGCATCTCCCTCTGCATGCCGATAGAGTTTGCAGGAAATGGAGGAAGAGTTGTGATGTGTGCTGATTAATACCACAATAATTAACAGAAGTATTTAAGTTACACGTCTTGCTGCATCATGCAGTCCTAGTGAGAACCGAGTTATGAAGACAAACGCACATCTGCCTTTCCGCAAATCCATTTTGAAGAGTGGAGCAGAGAAACGCGTCGCATCACATTCAAAATGTCTTAGACGTTCAGGTCAACTTTGTCATTACAAACGGTATTCTGTTGCATCATTGCGGGTGCCGGTAACTGCCACTGATGATTTTGTAAATGAATAAACCTGGGACTTTTCCTTTACATGTTTTCAAAGAAAATTCAGATTTTTTTTTTTTTTTTGAAGTTTTCAGGGTGGGAATATGGCACTGACATGAAATATTCATCTGAAGGCTTCTTCACATCTTTACCGCTGGTACGTGTGGAGAGTGCTGTCGTACATAAGCTTACTTCCTGTCCTTCAAAATGAAGTAATACAGTTAATTTTCAAACAATTTTGAGTTAGCAATAACGCGTTTATCTAAATGTAATATCCCCACATTATTTTACTCATAAATGTGTTTCAACCAAAACTCGGGAGTCATTCATTGCATTGCATAAATCCTATTACATTTTCTTTGATATGAATTAAGACTTCTTGGTGTTTTGGAGGAGGCTCAAACTTAAATCAGTTAATATAAAGTCCTGTGACATGAATGAAAGAGTCAAATGTGGCCCAATTTTTTAGTAAATGTGCTTCTGCTCTGTTTCACACTGAATTCAAACCCAGACCTGCTGCGTGTGTCGCCCACCATCACAAATCGACCTGAAACCAGCAGTGCTCCTGTGTGGGCTACATCCGGCCCACATGGACCGAAATGAAACTCATTAAACTACCTTTCTGCATGAAGTTCACAAACAAAGTTCCCCTGTGTTGCATTTGCTGGCGTAACATCTGGTCCTGTGACATGACAAGCCGAGACACAAGGGGGAGGCGGCGGGGGATCAACATGTGGCCCAAATTTGAGTTAAACCAAATAAAACTAAATTCAGTTCATGTGAACCACACAACCTCCACAGTTCTGCTTCAGCTACAAACTCTGAGATTCTTTGCTTGGAGAAGTGTCTACAGTTTTCACTTTTTCATGTTTAAGATGTTTAAAGCCACAGCCGTCAATGAAAATCATTAGTGTTGATCTGCATAAATCTGGCCGTTCTGTGAAGGTTCATTAGAGAACAATCATCAGAAAGACCAAGAGACTCAGCAGACAGGTTAAAGACAAAAGTTAAAGCAGGGTTGTGTTATGAAATATGTAATGAGGCAATGTTCAATTATGGGAGGAAGATGGAGAGACACACCTGTAACAAAACCTGTGGACAAAATGAGGAATAATCAGCAAAAATCTGGCCTTTCCAAAGAAAGACGTCCTGGAGATGAGGCGCTCCAGACAGATGAACTGTTTTACCACCAACACTGCCTCTCATCCTGAACACACCGCAGATGATGGGGAAATGAAGATAAATACAGGGAACTACTGGAAGAAAACCTGTTAGAGTCCACATGACTTTAGACCAGGGCGGAGGGTCACGACCAGAAACCTTCAGCCAGAGCTGCAATAAGTCAAAGACCAAACATAAAGATGCAAAAATTTGACAGGACTTGAAAACTTTCCTTGATAGTAAAGGAGAGTGGAATGTTTCAAAATCTCAAGTATTAGATCTGTACATTACCTTCAGATCCACTTTTGAAATGTTACTTTTGTATATTAGCTTCTCTACCTCAAAAAATGTTTGTTTTGATTTGCTCTTAAATTATAATATTTATGCACTTCTAGCTGTTTATCTCGTTAGTTTTTCTATTGATACTGTTTAGTAAGTTATTAAAGTACTTTAATAACTTTTTGTCCAAATTCTGCCATAGGTTTGAACAAAATAATCCAATGCAAAAACAAAACAAAAAAAATGCAAAAGAAAGTTTGTCAAACTTAAATTTAAAAAAAAGGACCGGTATCAATATTGGTATCAGGAATAGCAGCCCTGCATTTAATCTGACAAAAATTTAGCTTTTTTTCCCCAAATAAATTCAATTCAATTAATTTACATAGCACTGAAGACATTTTACTAAAAAAAAAAAAAAGTCAACTCACTCCATATCAGATTTCAAGTCAAGTCGATTTCAAACTGATTCCAGCTTTCAAGCAGTGCAGATTATTTTTCAGATTAGTTATAAAGTTTTCCATCTGACTGGGAAAACATTTCAATCTTTAGGTCACAAAAATTACTCATAAAAAAGTGAAACTTTTAGTAGACAAATTCTGGGAAATTTAAGAGGTGTGGTAACTTCCGGACCACTACCAATAAGAAGAAGCATTTAATGTTTTACTTGGCTAAATTTAGAAGAAAATCCTCCCTCAAATCCAGGTCTGCAAAGATTGACATGAACGATAATTTGTATCGTTTATGCACGATACAAATGATCTTATCGTAATGATATCGTAAACAATGTAGTTTCTCAACTGCATTAAAAACTTGTTTCTTACTCTCATTTAGACAAGTAAATGGCATCATCTGGGCTGCACTTTCTATAACTTATGCAGACAACACGGCTGACTGCTGGTGGGTGAGGATAAATAGTCCCACGGTGGGCTCACCACCGTGGGACTGGCCTGGACCAGCCTCAGATTCCCACGACCCCTCCTCTCCACACACACACACGCGCGCGCACACACACACACAGAGACAGAGAGAGAGAGAGAGAGAGAGAGAGACACAGGGGAGCAGAGCAGGCAGGCTGCAGAGACGCACAGGCGGACAAGCGCGTAGACAGAGAGGCAGAGCAGCGCTGCACCACTTCCCCCCCCCCCTTATTTACTATAAAAGCCACATTTCAGGCTCCGCTGTTGCGCATTGCACTGACTCACACAGTGCAGAGAGGGAGGGTTTAAAAACCCCAAAATACCTAAAACAAAAACGTCCCGATCTCAGGAGGAAATGGAAGAAAGAGTGGATTAGCCGCGAGTCAAAAGTGGAGGAGTGGGAAGGAATGACGAAACTCGGGATTCTGTATTCTGATGATGCCGAGGAGCCGGTTTCTGCTTCAGATTTACATCCACAACAAGGCAAGTACCCACTGACTGCATGCGCACCGCCTCCACACACTAAGCGGGTTCGTTTTTGTTGAGCAACAGCGCGGACGGATAAGAAGTGAAAACACTTCTCCCAACTTGAAATGCGGAGCGGCCTCTGGAGTCCACCCTCCCCCTGGGGGGCAGATCACATTATGAGTTCAGTTCAGAGGACGTCCGCGGAGCCGCTTCTTAAGACCGCAGTGAGGTCGTGAAGTGAAATCACAAGCGCCTGATGGAGCGGTCCATTAACAGAGGAGTCCGGGTTCGGGCTGAGGAGGCTGTGTTGCTCCACAGGGAGGAACTGCAGAGAGGTTGGCATCTCATTAACTCGAACACATGTCTTATTAAAACAGCTATTTCCTGTTGTGCGCGATGCAAGAGTGAACTGTCTCCCCTCCAGCCTCACAGATGCGAGAGGTGGGCGGATCGATCCAGAAATATCGATACCTGGTTGGTATCAGCATCGGATTGATGCTGGAGTGTTAAGATTGGGTTGAAATGTTATTTTATGTTCGGCAATGTAGTTCCTCAACTACCTTAAAAACTTGTTTCTTGTTCTCGTTTATACAAGTGGATATGAACAAAAAAAATGTCTTATTTTTCTACTTGTGTTTATCATATTAATGTCATAAAGTATTTTGTGGACACCTAGAAATTGTTCAAATTCTGAGTTTTAGCAAAACCACAAAAAGACGCCTAAATATCAGAAATTTGAAGATACGTAAAACTTGAAAAAGTATTGAGATTTGTGCCGTATTTATTTGCTGCTGTATCAATATCAGTATAACACACCTCTAACAGATGCTGCATTCAAAAGAAAAAGAAAAAAAGAGCTCCGCAGGTTCACTGAGGTCACCCAGTGGATAACTGGATCTCCTCTCGCTGCTTCAGCAACAAAGAAAATTCTCCAAGACTCATCACACCCCAGACATGCACTGCCTGCATTTATTTGGGGAAACGTTTCAGATCTCTAAATACTAAAATCAACAGTGAGAAACAATTTTACCCACCAGCCATCACCATGTTAAATGTTGCCAAGTGGTCGATTTGACCTCGTTGACCTTTTAATGAAGGGATAAGTGTGATACAAGTCATTATTTAGTCTTTCTTTAAGTGAGACAGTGTTTTTGAATTGCATCCAAATTTTGTGGTACATTGTTTCATGCAGATTTTATTCCGTTCTGTGTTTAGTCTGAGGATGACGGCTGCCAGTCCGCCCTGCAGCCCTGCCTCCTCCCACTCCTCACCCGTTTGCCTCCCGGCCTGCCGCAGACACCTGAGGAAAGGAGAAGCCCTCCAGACCAAGCTGCGTCTGGGCTCCCCCCCGGGCGTGTGGCTCATGCTGGGCGCAATGGTGGTGCTGGTGGGGATGAGCGTGGCGGTGGCGGGCTACATCTCCGCCGCACCGAGGCCGGCCGTGGGCGGACGCGGGAGCACCCACGTCGAGAGGATGAAGCTGGCCGGGCCGGTGGTCATGGGAGTGGGGCTCTTCATCTTCATCTGCGCCGCCACGCTGCTGTACGAGAACCGGGACCGAGAGAGTCTTGTCCGAGACCCTCTGAACGACCTGGAGGACCTGAAGGGGAGCAGCTGCTGGGAGGATACTCAGGAGCAGTGGGAGCACTCGGATGAGGAGGAGTCAGCGTGGGCCAGCCCGGTCCACATCCTGCCTCTGGCCAGCACTGATTCTCCTCCTCCTGATGAAGGAGGTGCAGCTAGCGAGGGTGGAGATCAAGAGGAAGAGGAGAATGAGGAAGAGGAGAAGGGGAAGTCGATACTGCTCACTCAAGTTCTGCACCACCAGGCGCCCAATCCTCACCCATCCTCACCCCGCCTGTCCACTTCTTCTGACCCGGTTCACTCAGATTCAAGCAACTCGAGTGAAATCGACTTTAATGACCGGACAGAGTCTTTAGAGCTGCCCCAGGACTGACGCTCTGCCACGCACAACCACCGGACTATGCACTGCTCAGTGAGGAAGAGCGTAAGATTTGTTTGTATGTTATAGTGCCTCTGAGTGGTATGCTGAGTCACTGTCTCTGAAGGGTGTTTTTGTCCTACATTGCTCACTGACTCATTCACATTTGAAAAATTTTAAGCTGCGCTGTTTGATGTCAACTCGCCATCTTGTCTCAGAGCTCCGCCCAGCTGCCCATAAAACTCCACTTCTGGAGTGACCAAACATGGACCTGCCGTAAAAGTTATTTGGGTGCCAACCTGGGTGATAAATGCTTCCTCTCACACTCATCCTCTCCCCAGAGGTGGACTTTTCCTTTCTTAAGAGGTTCACTAAAGAGGATGAGCCAGATTAGGTCCTGAATGAGTCTTTATCTTATCTCACGTGCAGTATAATCGTCTCTTTATCTCGGGGAAAGTTGTGTTTCGGTGTAAACAAGAGCAGCACAAAAGCCACACTCCTCTCACTCGACACCTACAGCCATGCTATTAATACCAGCTGGTGCTCGATTGCAAGATCCGGATTTCTTACAGTAAATTTCTTTGGAATCCCACATTCAGCTGTTCACATTTCTTCCCTTCCATTAGTGCGGCGTCGAGAGATCTGAGAGAATCTGAGAGAATCTGAGAGTGGATGAACAGACACGAGTAACCGCATTTAAAAACACAAATTCTGGTGAGGCTGCGATGAGTTATTCTTGACGTAACTGAGAAAAATCACTCCTGTCGGTTTGAGTAAGTGATGCCTCACTCTCCCACCATCGCGACCTCTCATCTCCCATCTCTTCATCACCTCGTTTCCTACGCTTTATTCAAATTTTCATTACTCCATCTCAATTCTTGGCTTGCGCACAGCTGAGAAAGGGCACAAAAAGTAAATAAAGCACAAGAAAACATTTGCAAGTACAATTAAAGGGATGTTTCAGAATAAGATTCTGTCGTAAGGAGTAAATATTATCTCTTATCCCATCTTTAGTTCTTTGAATCAGTTGAGCTTCGACAGTGAAGATACCCGACAGTCTAAGAGGGAGATCAAGACCAAAGTGGACTTCAGTCATCCTAAAAAACCCAACCTCAAAAACATCACAGCGGTAGAAAAACCCCCATATTCGACTGATTTTTGTAAAAGATTACTTTCCTATCAAATTTTTTCTGATAAGCAAAATTTGCTATGTTAATTTTCAACTAGGTTACTGGTGGGAGTCCTCCTCCAAGCTCCTTCTCAGCTGTAAATAATCTGAGTATTTTCTATTGTTAAATGCTCAATGCAAACATGAAAAAACCCAAACATCATAGACACTTATTTAATTATAGTAACAACCTTTAAAATGTTATAATTGCATCAGAGTTATTTTCTTTTCTTACAGAAGACGCTGAATATTTACAGCTGAAATAAAGCTTAGAGGTGGTGCACTACCAGTAATCTCCCCTGTAAAACAAACTTAAAATACAACTCAGAGAAACTATCTGAAAGAAAATGACTGCACACTCTGCACACAATAATAGAATTTGAGTTTGGTTAATAATTTCTTTACTGTGACAACGCTTCCAGGTAATAAATCTTATGCTTTTGGGAAGCCTGTTTATCTCCCTTTCAATGGTGCTACATTTGTAGACAAAATGTATTTGAAGAATATAGTGGGGGAAATAAGTATTTAATACACATCTGACTTTTGAAGTTACTTACAAAGAATGGAGAGGTTTGTAATTTAATATAATAATTGGCATTTCACTGATACAACAGAAAAAGTTACTTAATATGGTCTGCAGAAACCAGGATGCAGTAGTTATTTTCACCTCTCCTTCATACAGATCTCAGGGTTTTGGGGTCACTCCAGGAACCTCAGATGGTCCTAAGAAACATTCCTTGTTCCCTTGGTGGTGTGCTTTGGGTCATTGTCATCGTAGAAGACCTGGCTATGGCCCATCTTCAGTGCTCTTAGCGAAGTTATCTCAAAATCTTGCGATGCAATCCCATCCATCCTCTCCTCAGTAAGTTCAATATCCAGCAAATGACCTGATTATTTGACTCAGGGGTGGTGAAGCAGAGACACACCAAAAGGTTACAGTACACCGGCCCTTAAGGAGCGGATCTGACAATCAATAATCTAGAGTTTTGGTTTCTTGGACAGTGTTTTGGTCTTACCTGTGGTGTGGAGAGGTTGGAGTCTGAGTGTGTGGATAGATGTCTTTTTATACAGGTAATAAGTTCAAAGAGGTGCAATTAATACAAGTCGAACAAAACTACTTCTTACAGACAAGTTCGTTCTTGGTAGGAAGGGAATCGAATATTTAACGTGATAATATGATGCTAATTAATTTGTTTAAAATCATACAATGTGATTTTCTGGATTTCCTTTACATTCTGTCTCTCACAATTGAGGTGAACCTGCCATAAAAATTACAGACTTCTCCACACTTTGTAAGCAAATCAACACTGAATTAAATATCTTATTGTATATGAGATTGTTCCATGAAAAATTTCCCAAATTCTCTATGTAAATGTGAAAGTGCTGGTTTTGGTTTCATACCTGAATTGGATGATTAACGCTCATAGAAACTAAATTAATTGTCAATTTAACTACTAACTAATCCCAACTAACTTTAAAAAAATTTTAACAAACATGAACCTCAGGAGTGCCTGTCAGAAGTGTCTCAAAGTTTGAACAAAGAATAGGGAAAAAAAAAAAACAATCAACAGGTCTGAGGTTTACTTTGGCCTTGGTCACTTTTAGATTTTGCATCCAGAACTTACTCATCAGGATTTATGCAAAACGAGAACATGGAGAGCTATCTATTGCAGGTAGGGTAACAACTGCTTATTTAGACAGAAACCCAGTTTACAAATCCTGACCTATCCCTTTAAGCCAAGATCAGCCCATTAGCACAGACAGGGAGGAAAGTGGGTTGGATTTTATTTTAATTATCACCAGCGTTTTCCTCTCGTCTCTAATTACACAGGAGATCAGTTTGAACGTTTTTATAGGTAGTTAAGGACTGCTAAGTATTTCCTTGCAGGTTGGGCTCACGCTGAGATCCCGCCATCGAGATGACGAGTGAGACTGGAGTTTACAGTGATCTGTGCCCATCCATTTCAGCCGCAGCTGTCTTGGCAGGAGCTCAGTGCTGTTTTAGGATGCAGGATGTATATTTCAGTTGCAAAAGGTGAAAAATGGATCTTGATTTGAGCCGTCAACATCTCCCACAAAAAGAAATCTGCCCACTCTTCCCTCTCACACTTAAGGGGAGTCCTGCTCAGTGTGAGATGATCTAATGCATTTGAATTCGGTGAGAACGAGGCTGTGCTGTGAGGCTGCAGTCGCTGATAATTTATTTATAAAACTGAGTGTGACAGTAAACCGACCAGAGGGAATAATGTCAGCGCATATCTAAATGCATGCAGAAATGACTGCCGCTACACAAATGGAGAAATCTTCTCAAACGTAGATCTGTGTTTGTGTCTGTGCAGCAGCGTTACATAAGTCAGCAGTGCAGGTTTTATGCTGCATTGACAGTACAACTGAATCAAATCCTTTACTCCCAGAGAGTATTGTGCTCATGTGAGGCATTGATACATATCTGAGCAGACGGACAGGAAGCAGTAAGCTGCTTAGCCCTGCGCTGACTCAGTATGCAAGCTATTTCTCTGTTCCCTATAACAGAGACGCTCCAATCAACATTTTTTACCTAGACTTAACCAGCTGGAAAAAATTCTGTTTATTACTTAAATAGAGATCACCTCAGATCCCAGACCAGCGAAATCAGCTAAGAAGTCATGGAAAGTTAACGCCGCTAACGAGGAGAGCTGTGTGTCACTGAGAAGGCATTTACTTTCTGACTGAAACAATATGTCAGCATTTTAAAGGTGTAACATTGACATTTAATGCGTGTTTAAAACTGCCAATAAACCAAAAAGCATTTTATTATATTAAAAGAAACATTCTATATGAATTTCTATGTGAATTTTATTTCTTCATCTCTGCAGCTGCTGTCAAAACTTCAATGACCCACATCCCTTCAGCAGCTGTGATTGGTTCTAAAGGTCCATTGCTTAGCTAATCCAATTTCTATCCAGCTCCCACGTACGTGGCGAGTATTCATGGTGCAGTCAAAGGGAGACACCTGCTCAGAATGAAAGGACTACTATTCTGTGTTTTTGCCATCATGATGCTCACACCTGCTCAAGGTAAGCCGGCTACTTCCCAAAGCCTGGAGGTGTTTCTGCTGCCCTCAGAGGGGCCTGCTCATTGTTGCATGGGGGCGTTTTCAGAAGCAAGGCAGAACCTAGTTGTCTAAGAAGTGTTAAATCCAACAGCTTGTTCTGTGGGAAGCCTTTACAAATGACTGTAGAGATTACATAACAGTCCAACAACTGGACGTCGAAGTTAAAAACACCTTTCTGAAGGCTATATGTGAAAAGAATATTCATTTAACAACTTATGTTAAGTCTGCAGATTAACCTGCATTTGTGTTTGCTTCTAATTAAACTGAAAATTAATATTATGTTCAATAAAACATCAGAAAAAGCAAAACATCCACCAGATAAGTAATTTTCGTTTCCTGTTTTCTGCAATAAGTGCTCCAGAACCAAAACTCATTACCTTCATTATCCGAGGAGCAAAATCTGCTAATAATCGTCTTCAGTTTGGAAATGTTCTTTTCAATATTAAATAAATCCCTGGCTCATCATTAAAGCTTTCATTCAAATCATTTCTAATGAAAAAAAAAACAAAAACAGAAATTGATTTACAAAAGTGTTTGTGGTTAATTTGGGCATAATTTTTGCAAAATCTCTTTCATAAAAATTATAGACCCAATATAAAAAAAATCTAAAAACAGATTTGCCAAACAGTTCATTCAAACAACAGCTAAACAATTTGTTGGGTTTACTGTTGCAGAATCAGAGAAATAAAAATGCAGCAAAAACAAAGTTAGACAAAGCCCATGAATAAACAAAATGTATCCTTCCTAGTGCCTGAACGCATCTTCATTCGTGTTTAGTCTGTTGGGTTAACTGAGCTAACGCTAACAAGATCAGAGCAGATAAGGATTGCGAGTCTCTGAAATACGACACAGCTCACACATCTGAAGGCCCTCAGGAAGAGATTATCTAAATCTAAAACTACCTGTGCACTAATGTGCTGTCCACTAACTACATTAATAGGGGTTGTAAACAAAGACAATTAAGTGGTTTGGTTAAATAAAATAAAGCACTCAATGTAGTAACTTGAGGAAGAATAACTGAGGTTGGACTTGCTCATTTTATTTTACAGACGAACTTTCCGTTCATGCCATCTACTTATTCCAAAAAAACTAAGTGACTAACTAACTGACCAACTAAGGCAAGGTATCCACTTAAAGAAACACATTCCCCCGTTCCAGACTGCTGCAGAATAAACAAAACATTTCTGAGATGTTTAAGTGCTAAACAGAATGTGTTGCAATCTGGATTAGTTTGGTTTGATGTCCTCTCTTAACACATCCAGAACCATTTCAGTAAGGTGACAACCATGCTTGATGCCTTTCTACTAAAACCTCCATTTAGGGTTTCTACATGTTTCCATCCTAAAATTCAAAACTTTTCCCTTCTCAGATTTCCTAGGGGGATGTTTTTTTTCTGCCGTTTTTCTAAGATCTGGAACCTTTCAGTGCAAAATACCCACCTTGAAATGTTTAACTAGTCATCGGGTAAGTTCCACTAATCATGAGACAACAAAGCTGAAACAAGTTTGTATTTTAGGAGTGTGGTATAGGGTGATTTTACTGCTTTTTTCCAGCATTTGCACTAACATAAACTAGCCCAGTGAGCACAATAAGATCCTGACATATAAATGCAGATTCTTTAAAGCACATTGTGAAGTTTCGTACTTTTATTTTGTTTGTAAAAACGATTGAAAAAGACCTGCTATCAGTGTTTGGCAATTTAACCAAACACTGTTCAGGCTCCAGCTCAAACTGAATTTAAAGCTTTCTGTAGTTCAAAAAGTGGAGTGAAATGGCAGTTTTTAAATGTTTGAGAGCGCATCCTTTTAGTGAGTCAAGGTACTGACAAATTAAAGACACAATCACTTAAGTAAAATTCAATGTAAAAACCCCCCAAAAAACTTCATGATAAAAAAAGTCTGGAAAGTCCTTTTTCCACCCTGAACAGACTGTGTCAAAACCCTAAGTATGAAGTCACATTCACATTTTTCAGCTAAAGAAAATACATATTTATACATACTTTCTTCCCTTTAAAATCAATTGTAATTGAAAAAAAAAACATAGCTCTGTTACGGAATCACCATTGCGACTCGTGCTCAGGTGAGGAAGAGGAGCAGCTGATGGAGTTGGAGGGACTGGAACCAGAGGAATCGTACCTGGAGTGTTTCCGCTGCGATCTGGGCTTTTGGGATGCCTGCTACACGACAGAAACCAACTGCAGCCGCGGGGAGCTCTGCTACATGGGCCGAGGGAAGGCAGGTGTGCATCTGCTCATCTAAAGGCACAAAGAAACATGTAAAAGTTAGATTTCTAAAGTTTGAATCACATATGGATTGCTCTGACTGCACTTTACCTCGTCTCCTCAGCTGATTCTCTGGATATAAAGATGCTGGGCTGTGCGAAGGCCGAGGAGTGTAACGTGAAGACGACGGTGGCGCTTTTTTTCAATAATACAATCTTTGTTATGACCAAATCCTGCTGTGACACCCCTTTCTGCAACTCTGCACAAAGATTACCCATATTCACAGTTTTTCATATCACCTTGGTTGGTTTAACCATCAGTCATATCACTAAAGCCTTAGGTGGATAAAAGAAATAACTTTTATTAAGTTGTGTTTTTGAAAAAATACAATTTATGTTGCTTCAAACAAAACCACTGCCAGATTTGCAAAATGTTGGTACTGAATAATTATTAGATATATCTAACACAAACCATGTAGATTTATACAAAAATTTCTTCACAAAATAAACAATGTGCTTGAACTGTTTTTTACATCAACAAATATCTTATTGTTATCAACATAAAACTCTGTAAACTTCCACCTTGTTTGGAGGTGAAGCTCTGTTTTTCCCCAAGAAGAGCAAACCCCAAACATTTTCTCACTGAACACAGAGAAACACAGAAAGGTGTTTGCAGCACTTCCACAGTCTAGCTGTGGTTCAGGAGCTCTCCAGCAGAGGGCAGAAGCTCATCTTTCATGAAGCTCTGCAGATCCACATCTTTGTCCTCCAGGTCAAGACTCAAAAACTTCTGCACCACTGATTGACATCTGTTGACCACATAGACGTTTTTTGTCTCAGATAAAGTTTCTTAACTCATTTTACATGAAATAAAGTTCAACAAACCTCTTGGCCTGCTCGTCTGATGATGCTTTGTCGACGCGTTTGATGGGTTTTCCTGTTCGGTAATGTTCAGACGCCTTAGACAGAAAACACAGTCCGCCTGTGAGCATGCCTCAGTGTGAGGGAGTGTGTGTGTTTGGACTTCCTGACCTCCATGGCTCTGTGTACAAGGCATGTTGGCAGGCCTGCCAGTGTAGCAATGTTGGCAGCGTAACTGGATTGGCAGATCCCTTCCTTCAGCTGGTACAAAAACACCAACTCATCTCTGTCTACGGCTGTTTCTAAAGTCTAAAAGCACAAAAGCAGAAACTAGTTTGAAGTTTTGTGATTCAACTATTCAGTCAGATGTTTCCTTAACATCTTAAAATGACAATATTACAATAAAATGCTGCAGTAGACACATTTGTTTATGCTTTGTTGGGGGTTTTTTTCTCCCTACCAGAAAAGACAGCATGCCAGTGGTTGGTAGAAGCCCTAACTGTATCAGACTGTGGAAGTTTGTAGCCAACAGGACATGAGGAACATCCACCGGAGGCTTTTTCAGCCAAAAAGAGACAGATGCAGCGAGTAAAGACAGCCCATCAACCTGAAGGAGAACATTAAAATTACTGTGAAGCTATTGGATAAACAGCTCTGTTGTAAGTCAATCAAAGCACTCCACATAAACTGCAAACGGCATGTTTATTGACCTGCTGTCAGAAAATCAATTAACAAGACGCTCCTGCCAATAAGCCTGGAGAAAGGAAACATGTCTTTAATTTCTTTTAGTTTAAGCAACAGTCTGCAACTCTGTACCGGTAACTAAAAATAAAAACAGACAGTGTTTCCTGTTACGCTTTATGCTGATCAGATTTAACAATAATAACATTTGCTTTTATGCTGTCCTATTTGATTCTCTGATCATGTCAACAGACACCAGCATGCACCTCCTAAAAGAAATAAAGCAACATCAGCAGCAGCAGAGTTTTATGTCTATCAAGCAAATCCATCTGAAACTTAGAAAAGATTTAACATTGTACAGAAAACACCGTTCCTTCACTGATGCCCCTGCAGGCTGGATTTACAAACATTTCATTGTTCTGGAACAATAGGAAGCTATTAACACAACTTCTTATTTATTAGGAGTCATTTGTTCATATGTGGCACTGTAATGTGACATATGCAACAGAAAAAACATGCACCATCCTTAATGTCTTTAAATATAATCTATCAGAGGTGTGAGTAATAGTTTAACTGTACACTAATGCACTGACCCACAATTCTGTTATTTATGTTATGTTATGTCTGAGAACAAAACATTTACCTTATTGGATGTTATTATATTTCAGATTACTGAAGTTGGCTTCAGCATCAAAAATTATGTGCAGGGTTTTTCTTATATCTGTACCAACTTAGATCAGCTCTACTTCAATTTCTATAACTCTTTGATTCTTTAAATGGAGTTTGTTATATTTATACAAAGGGGGGAAAAAAACGTTTGCTTGCTGGCACCTAAGCATGAGTCAATTCAACAACAAAAGGTTCGGATTAAAACCCGGTTCTAGAAGATGTAACTTTTAAAGCTTTGAATGACTCAGCACAACTACAGGTGGCAAATTAAAGAACATAAAACAAAAAACAAAACAAAAACAACAACAAAAAAACCTTATTTAGTCTTTTAAACAACACAATAATATCTGGAAAGTCTAATGATTACACACACTAATTATGTTTTTTTACAAGACCAAGACTGCTTTTCAAACTCTTTGTTAAAGCTTTACTCTTTATCAGTCCCAGACAATCAAGTAAATTATTTCTCCTCCTGTCCGAACAGTAAATTATTAAACAGTAAATGCTTTATTTCTTCTAAAATGGTATTATTTTGCTCATGAGTTTTTCTCAGAGAGGAAATTGCATGGACTTAAAACACCGATCACAGAGATATTTATTTGAGCAGATTTAAACATTTGCTGCTGTTCTCATTGGATTTTTTTGCAGCGTGCTGCAACAATTTTCTTCTTACTGTGTTGGTGCCCTTTCCAAACTCATCAATGAGCACCAATGAGATGCCAGTGCTGCTGTTGAGAGCCAAGGCCATCTGGAGAAAAAGAGCAACACATTAAAGGAAAACTGCTGTTTTCCTTTACTGTCTCTCTTTGTTCTTTGTGTTTGCTCTCGCTGTAGAAAGAACAACCTGGGTTTATTAAAAACATGTAACAAGTGAAGATCGGGAGCAAATGCACCACTGTTTAAAATGTTAAAATCCACATATAGAAGCACATGCTGGTGGTTAACGATGAATCTGTAACGTACCTGGTTGAGATCTATCATAAAGGTGCTGAGGCCTACAGACACGGACTCTCTGCTCTGCATGCGAGTGAAGATCCCGTCCACCTGACCTACCTCTGCCTCTTTAGCCGGCACATCTGAGCCGATCAGAGCCATGAACACAATCAGACCCACCTGGAAATATGAAACAGCAGGGAACAATGACTGCAAGGCCACAAATGTCACATCAGGTTTTTCATGAAAAGTCTCAGACTCTGAAAACTAGAGCATGAGATGAAAACGAAATAGTTGTTGCTGCTAATTTGGTTAGAGGGCAATATTTTATTCACATAGGCCCAGTTTGGCTTGAATCCTCCTCCTTAAGACATGAAATCTTTTGAAAACTGTCTTTTGTATTTAATTTATTTGATAACTTTAGGTGTGACAAAAAACAAAATCCGAAGGGAGTCAAACACTTTTTCACGACACTATTTAACCCAAAAGTTGGCCAGTGACTACATTTTAAAATGCAAATGATAAGAGCCTTGGTTTAGATTTACATTAATTTATGTATTTTATCAATAACTAAATCAAGTTAAAAATCTTATCTGAAATTATTCTAACTTTGGAACTTCAAGTAAAACAGTCTCGCATGTAGATGTTTCATTTAGTAGATGTTTCATTACATAAAATATCCAAATTGTTGAGTTAAACAAAAGATAAGATGAATTTGTTCCTAAAAATGTTCCAGATTTAATATATCAGAGAGGATAGATACTAAGTCATGTACTCAGCCACCTATAAAAACAAAGAATTGAGAAAGGAGCAGACCAACATAAAATAATTCATCACAGTTTTAATTGCGCCATACTGATAACTTAATACTTGCTTTTGTCGACCTGTTTGAGGAAGATGCTCTTGCCAGATGAGTTCGGACCAGTGATGACCTTGATTCTGCCCTCTGATTCGGAGCTCTGATAGGAGTTGGCCACAAACACTGGAGAACACAGCTCCAGCAGCGGGTGTCTGGAAAATCAATACAAAGCACAGGAAGAACATCTGGGTCCATCTAGCAAATTAGTCACTATCACAGTGAGTCAGTACCTTCCTTGTGTTATTGCTATTGTTCTATGTCTGGTGAGCTTGGGTGAGGAGTAGCTGTACTCCTGAGAGGCGCTGCTCATCGCCGTCAGACAGTCCAGCTCGGCCAGAAGATCCAGTACCTACAATTATTACAGTGAATATTTTAGGCTTAGCAGAGACAAAAAAAAAAAAAAGCTACGATACTTTTTTCAACCATTGCACATAACAATATTACTGAATGGACTGAAAAAGGAGAAGGAGATTAAGCTGTAATAGTGGCACATAACATGGTTGACAACATTGAAGGACAAATTCACAGCTATTTGTGCACACTAAATTTGTATGTTCCTCTAATTCTCAAGCTAAATGCAAAGAAAGATGTCCTTTAAACTGTTGCGTCTCTATGCATGTAGTTGGGGAAAAGTCTGCCTACTTTCATTTCTATCCCACAGCTAAATGTCTTTGTCTGAAATACTAGAGCTGTTTGCAGCTGAGTGTAAAGAAAAACTAGGTACTACAAGCTGGTGGGAGGTTTGACGCAGGTGGAGAGAAAAGGAAAAATGTGACTTTCTGCACTGGCAGTTTTATAAAAAATCAGGGCACAGATGTCACAGTAACTAGAACAGATCTTCTCTTCCAATTAGGTTTTTCTGAAACTCATGTATCTTGAAAAATACGTTCAGATCAGAAAGAGTTCACAAGCAGAGTATCAACCATGAAGCTTAAATAAACTCAGATGAGATCTGGAATTATATAGAAG